AACACTCGTGCCAACTTGACTCCCGGGTGCTGACCCGTTTGATCGCTTGCTCTCTCCTACAGACGCGGCTCCACTGCCTCCTCCCGAGGCAACGCGCTGATGCTGGCTTGAGGAGGTGCTAGAGCCTATTATATCGTTAAAGGAACCGACGGGGTGATCACCAGTCGATTGTCTCTTGATCGCTGTGGAGGGAAAAAGGGGAATTTGCAAAAGAAGGGTGACAATAGGGCATGGGTAAAGGGCAATTTGCAATGGCAGGATGGCAATAGGGCTTGGGTAAGTAATGTTACAATAGACGTGGGATACAGAACCTGACACGGCGACAATAGGGCGACTTCAATTATTGAAAAATAACAGACAACCGGATCCGTGCGAACAGACTCAGTTGCGTTTTACTTACTCTCTCTAGGAGTCTCAGGCTTGCGTGGTGTGGCCGGCCGTACGACCTCCTCGTCTATAGACACACAACAGCCCATGCTGACGGAAATTAACACTAGAGTTTCACTAGACGGCCTATAAACACATACAGTGCGTCGCTTCTTTCACAGCTTTTCCCATGGCACAACCACCCTTGTCACCTACGAACTCTGAGAAACAACGAGCCGACCATAAATAACTGACCAATAAGATCGCAGTCTAACGATCTTAGAAAAGCATAGGCTTCGTTTTCAGCGCGCCACTGAGAAGGTCAACATGCAGCAAAAATTACCGTGCCTAGCCTTCATAAGACGTGGGTAATGGTCTGGAAAAGCGAGGAAGACAGCCAGTCATGAAGAAAATTGCCGTACAGAGCCGAAACCAGCTTCTGCTTGACTTCGAAGTTTGCCGTAAAGAGTTGTGGTTCTGCGTTCTTCTGCGGGGTTTTATGTGGTGTATTCGACAATGTGGTTGGCTAGACAAACAGAAGTACACTTCAAAGTGGCCCATGGATGGCTTCGACATTATTGTGCATACAGTTTCGTTCATTCGAAACTGGTGTGTATATGAGCTTATCTTAAACAAGGAATTTTCTCATCAGGATTTTTTTTATCCGAACCAAGCTAGGTGGTTTGGGAAGGGGAGACTGGGCGAGTAAACGCGATCCGTCGAAAGCTTGCCGTATTCTGACGATTTTTCTCAATTTCCCCGCTTATTTTCTGTCCTGTTTTCGCCTTTCCCTGCCAGAACGGATGGAATGATGGCATCACCCCTTCTAGATCATCCGTGGCTCTCCTTCCACACCCACCACCACCACATCAGCAACTCACGGATCCCTCCAACCCAGCGCTTCTAACCCTAGCAGCTAATGTGTCTGCTTAGCTTGTGTTAGCACTTCAGAAAGGTCCATTTGTTGGCATTAGCTTGTTGCTGTGACTTGCTGCTCTTATGGAAGGTGAAAGTGAGAAGAAGACGGGAGAGAAACCCGCGGAAGATGATGGCGGAATCGCACCGCTTCCGGAAAGGGTACACACCCATCTAGCATGTTTTCCCCGTAAATCCAAGCCACGGTTCTTAATGGCCCTCTCGTTTTGGTTCACAGGTTCAAGTCGGCGGATCACCAGTGTACAAGATGGATCGGAAGCTGGGAAAGGGAGGTTTTGGTCAAGTTTACGTGGGTCGTAGAGTTCATGGAGGGACGGAGCGTGTTGGCCCTCATGCTGTCGAGGTAGTGAACGCAATAGCTTCTTTTCCAGTCCGTGTGATTCTTAACTAGTCCCAGAACCTTCAGTAGATCGTTCTTTTGATCGCAGGTAGCACTGAAATTCGAGCATAGAAGCAGCAAGGGATGTAATTATGGGCCTCCGTACGAGTGGCAAGTTTACAAGTAAGTCAACGTCGTCTATGCACGTTTGGTATCTTCGGAACCCGCATCTCTTAACTTAACGAACTTCCGTCATGACAGCACGCTTGGAGGGAGTCATGGAGTTCCTAGGGTTCACTACAAAGGCAGACAAGGCGACTACTACGTCATGGTGCGCATCTCCCAGAGCTTCAACGTCATCCTTATTCCGAATTCCAGCCTTGTCCTAAAGTGCTATGAATCTTCGCGTACAGGTCATGGATATGCTCGGACCGAGCTTGTGGGACGTCTGGAACAATTCCAATCAAGCGTAAGGGAATTTCTTATTTCGATTAACCTTCTTACACTGCTAGCTCCTCTAACATCGTGCCATCGACGATTTCAGGATGTCAACGGAAATGGTAGCATGCATTGCCGTGGAAGCTCTTTCTATTCTCGAGAAATTGCACGCACGGGGGTAAGTAGAATGCGAGCTGGTTTGCCTGCCTTGTTCCATGAGACGTAAACTGGGGGTAATTTATCTGCTCTTTGTTGCTATTTCAGATACGTCCATGGAGACGTGAAGCCAGAAAACTTTCTTCTAGGGCAACCAGGATCTCCCGACGAGAAGAAGTTATACCTTGTTGACCTCGGACTCGGTAATGTATATAAAACCATTATGTCGCCGGATATTCCGCTGTTTCGTTTGTACTAATATCAATTATTGGAGTATGCAGCAACACGATGGAAAGACGCGACTTCTGGTCAGCATGTGGAGTATGATCAACGTCCAGACATATTCAGGTGCTCATGATGTCCGTGCACTAGCCGATTTGCCTTTTATGGTGCTTTCGGTCCCGTGTGACAATGTGAGACTCCTTTCTTCTCGTGCAGGGGAACCGTCCGATATGCCAGTGTTCATGCGCATCTTGGCCGCACAGGCAGTAGAAGAGATGATCTAGAGTCCCTGGCTTACACTCTGGTTTTCCTTCTACGGGGTCGCTTGCCATGGCAGGGCTATCAGGTGAGTATTTCTGACTGAAAGGTCATCTGCTAGCACTTTCCGCTGCTGCTAATGTGGGAACTGTTTTGACTGAGCAGGGAGACAACAAGGGCTTCCTGGTTTGCAAGAAGAAGATGGCCACATCTCCTGAAATGCTGTGCTGCTTTTGTCCAGTTCCGTTCAAGCTCTTTCTGGAGTATGTGGTGAATTTGAAATTCGATGAGGAGCCAAACTATGCCAAGTGCATTGCAATGTTCGACCCTGTTTTGGGACCCATCCCGGCGCATCGGCCTATTGACACAGAAGGCGCTTTGAAGGTGCATAGCCAGTGACGTTGTGCGTATTTTTTCGCAATTTCACCAGGCTAGGATTCTGAACTTGCATCCTTGTTTTGCAGGTGGGTCAGAAGCGAGGACGTTTGACAGCAGAAGAGGAAGCTGACGACCAACCAAAGAAGAAGGTTAGGCTTGGAATGCCTGCCACGCAGTGGATCTCTGTGTACAGTGCTCGTCGGCCAATGAAGCAAAGGTACAAAGACATGAATGATAGGTACAGACCACAGAGGATCCTCATCCATTACCTAACCTTGATTATTTTTCTCCCACTTCTTCTGTATCCTTATTTATCCTCATTCATTCCCCCCAGCCCCACTTATTCCTGCTTATGCTGTATTAAGCATGATCCTTTGTTCCTGTGCGTTGTGCCTTTTTTTTTCAGATACCACTACAACGTGGCTGATGCGAGACTAGCACAACATGTGGAGAAAGGAAATGAGGACGGGCTTTTTATTAGCAGTGTAGCATCATGTCAGAATTTGTGGGCTCTCATCATGGATGCTGGCACAAACTTCACTTCGCAAGTCTATGAACTCTCACATGTCTTCCTTCCAAAGGTCTGCTTTTTTTAGCTTCCAGTCCCCCTTTTATGCTTCTGTATTCAATGCCCAGGCTAATGGCCGAGTTGTTTCTACAGGAATGGATTATGGAGCAATGGGAGCGGAACTTCTACATTACCTCAATTGCAGGGGCCAGCAATGGCAATTCCTTGGTGGTTATGTCTAAAGGTGAGGTATCCCATATTTTTGTCATGGTTGGCTTCAGGAGTTGTAGCTCAATTGCGTGTTTGTGTTGTGCTAACAGGAACATCCTATACACAACAATCATACAAAGTAAGTGACTCGTTCCCCTTCAAGTGGATCAACAAGAAATGGAGGGAAGGCTTCTATGTCACATCCATGGCAACTGCAGGCAGCAGATGGGGGGTGGTTATGTCACGGAATGCTGGCTTCACAGATCAGGTATGTAGCCAAATGTTTCATTGAATTTTGCCGCGCATCAATATCGTTTGGTTAAACCTCCTTATTGTCTTTACCCCCAGGTGGTTGAGCTCGACTTTTTGTACCCGAGTGAAGGGATCCACCGCCGATGGGATGCTGGTTACCGGATTACAGCGACTGCAGCAACTTGGGATCAAGCTGCCTTTCTGTTAAGCATCCCGAGGCGCCGTCCTGCGGATGAGACTCAGGAGACTTTGAGAACTTCAGCCTTTCCAAGCACACATGTTAAGGTCAGTGTTCAGACAGCCCTGCTTTTTGTTGGTGTGTACGCTTTGCGTGTACTTACCACAGTGCATCTTACCCATATGCAGGAAAAATGGGCGAAGAATCTATACATTTCATCCATCAGCTACGGCCGCACCGTGTCCTAGTTTATGAAAATGTGATACCGTATACTCTCGGAGCCCAGTGATATCTCTTACAATGCTGGTCTCTTGCCAGTGTTTGATGATAGGGCTCCCACTCTGTATCATTTTGTAGGTGTCTCTGTGTTGCATTGTGTGGTATCCTGCCACTCAGTTGCTGCTGGTTTTCTGTCCCCCGAGAGCCAATATTATTCATCTCGCACCGCACCTTGGGTCCTCCGCTGAAGCTCCATTGAAGCACGATGCAATTGGAGTGTCGTATTTTATTTCACCTGCAAAGCAGATGACTAAAACTGGGAAGCTTTCTTGTCAGGGTGTACTGTATTGTGGAATGACAGTTGTGCACTTTAAAAGCATACCGGTAAGAAATCAAACCAAAACACACATTTATATTGGAACTACAGAATGCACACGATCCCCTGACCACAACATATTGCCCAGACCCACTCCAACAATCCAGATTTGATACGATACCATGAAATGTCTCGCTGATGCCACATTGGCATTATTATGGTACAATGCAACTGAAAAGGGGATCTAAGTCCCAAGTCCAGCATAAACCTCTACACCCACACGGTCGTCCTCTTTTTGAGCCGGTGCCACATTTCCATCGACTCCGATGCAAACCTCAGCACTGACAGCGGCAGCACCTGCGCTGATGCCAATACCGGTATCTGTTTGGGCACTAACCGAATCAGCCGAAGAAGCAGCAACCTCAGTCCCACCACCAGGAAGAGGGCCATCCTTGGGCCTCTCTTTGCTCCTTTCCCCGACCTTCTCCCCATCACCAGCTTCCTCTGTCATCACCACCACCACCTCTTTCCCTCCCTTCACCACCTCACCCACCTCCCCCGCTTCCTCATCCTCCTCCACTTCCTCCTCTTCTGGCACCGCTCGCATGAACCGAGAGAGCGGCTCTCGCGAGGCAGCATCCTTCTGAATGAGCTCGTCCATCCAAGCAGACACCACGTCGATGTCGGGTCGGTTCTTGCGCTGCGGAGTCACGCACTGTGCGGCAATGCCACAGAAGATCTCCATGAGGTCCCCGGGGTACGCTCCCAGGCGCGGGTCCACCATGTCGTTGTACTTCCCCTCCTTGATCTTCGGAAGGGCCTGGAATGGTGGCACGGAAAGGTGGGAGGAGTTTTTTGAGACGCCTCAAATGTCATCCTCACGGGGTACGCTCCCAGGCGCGGGTCCACCATGTCATTATATTTCCCCTCCTTGATCTTCGGAAGGGCCTGGAATGGTGGCACAGAAGGGTGGGATGCGGTTCAGTTGGGTGCTGCAATGCCACAGAGGTCCCCGGGGTACGCTCCCAGGCGCGGGTCAACCATGTCGTTGTACTGCCCCTCCTTGATCCTTGGAAGGGCCTGGAATGGTGGCACGAAAAGATGGCACGGAAGGCTATGTTTGTGATGAAACAAGGATGTTACAGTACTAGCATTGCTGAAATGCTCAAGTGTCATAAGACAATGCGGTAGAACGAGGATCATCAATGGAAACACCACGTAATGGTAACGCCACGTAATGGTAACGCCGCGTAATGGTAACGCCGCGTAATGGTAACGCCGCGCAATGGTAACGCCATGTAATGGTAACGCCGCGTAATGGTAACGCCGCGTAATGGTAACGCCGCGTCATGGTAACGCCACGTAATGGTAACGCCGCGTAATGGTAACGCGGCGTAATGGTAACGCGGTGTAATGGTAACGCGGCGTAATGGTAATGCGGCGTTATGGTAACGCGGCGTAATGGTAACGCCGCGTAATGGTAACGCGGCGTAATGGTAGCGCCGCGTAATGGTAGCGCGGCGTAATGGTAACGCGGCGTAATGGTAACGCGGCGTAATGGTAACGCGGCGTAATGGTGTCGTCGCGTAATGGTATCGCCGCATAATGGTAACGCCGCGTAATGGTAACGTCGCGTAATGGTAACGCCGCGTAATGGCAACGCCGCGTAATGGCAACGCCGCGTAATGGCAACGCTGCGTAATGGCAACGCTGCGTAACGGTAACGCCGCGTAATGGTAACGCGACGTAGTGGTAACGCAACGTAATGGTAATGCCGCTTAATGGTAACGCCGCGTAATGGTAACACCACGTAATGGTGACACCGCGTAATGGTAACGCCGGGTAGTGCTAACGCCGCGTAATGGTAACGATGCGCAATGGTAACGAAGCGTAGTGGTAACAAAGCGTAGTGGTAACGAAGCCACGTAATGGTAACGAAGCCACGTAATGGTAATGCCACGTAATGGTAATGCCGCGTAATGGTAACGCCACGTAATGGTAGCGCCACGTAATGGTAACGCCACCTAATGGTTACGCGCCGCGTAATGGTAACGCCGCGTAATGGTAACGCCACGTAATGGTAACGCCGCGTAATGGTAACGCCGTGTAATGGTAACGCGCCGCGTGATGGTAACGCCTCGTAATGATAACGCCGCGTAATGGTAACGCCGCGTAATGGTAACGCCGCGTAATGGTAACGCCGCGTAATGGTAACGCCGCGTAATGGTAATGCCGCGTAATGGTAATGCCGCGTAATGGTAATGCTGCGTAATGGTAACGCCGTGTAGTGCTAACGCCGCGTAATGGTAACGAAGCGTAATGGTAACGAAGCGTAGTGGTAACGAAGCGTAGTGGTGACGAAGCCACGTAATGGTAACGAAGCCACGTAATGGTAACGAAGCCACGTAATGGTAACGCCACGTAATGGTAACGCCGCGTAATGGTAACGCCGCATAATGGTAGCGCCACGTAATGGTAACGCCACCTAATGGTAACGCGCCGGGTAATGGTAATGCCGCGTAATGGTAACGCCGCGTAATGGTAACGCGCCGCGCAATGGTAGCGCCGCGTAATGGTAACGCCGCGTAATGGTAACGCCGCGTAATGGTAACGCCGCGTAATGGTAACGAAGCGTAGTGGTAACGAAGCGTAGTGGTAACGAAGCCACGTAATGGTAACGCCACCTAATGGTAACGCGCCGGGTAATGGTAACACGCCGCGTAATGGTAACGCCGCGTAATGGTAACGCGCCGCGTAATGGTAACACGGCGTAATGGTAACGCCGCATAATGGTAACGCCGCGTAATGGTAACGCCGCGTAATGGTAACGCCGCGTAATGGTAACGCCGCGTAATGGTAACGCAGCGTAATGGTAACGCCGCGTAATGGTAACGCCGCGTAATGGTAACGCCGCGTAATGGTAACACCGCGTAATGGTAATGCCGTAATGGTAACGCGGCGTAATGGTAACGCGGCGTAACGGTAACGCGGCGTAATGGTAACGCGGCGTAATGGTAACGCCGCGTAATGGTAACGCCGCGTAATGGTAACTCCGCGTAATGGTAATGCCGCGTAATGGTAACGCCGCGTAATGGTAACGCCGCGTAATGGTAACGCCGCGTAATGGAAATGCTACGTAATGGTAACGCCACTTAATGGTAACGCCACATTATGGTAACGCCACGTAATGGTAACGCCACGTAATGGTAACGCCGTGTAATGGTAATGCCACGTAATGGTAACGCCGTGTTAGAGCGTAACTCACCCACTGCACAAGGGTAACGAATCGCTTGCTGGTGCGGGATCCCATGACAACGTCCTTCTCATCCACTATTGGCAGCTTCGCTGTAATCAACTCCAGCAGCACCACTCCGAAACTGCGTTGAAAAATCAGCGTGGAAAGGTAATGAGTTTGTGTATATGGTACAATTTTTAAATTTAACTGCACACCCAATGAGTCCCCACGCACCTGTACACGTCGCATTTGCTAGTGATTCGGAAGCTCTGGAAGTATTCCGGGTCCAGGTAGCCTCGCTTGCGCTGCATGCGCAGCCGCATGGCCTCCCCTGGCAGGTGCTTCAGCACGCCCAGCCCGCCCAGCTTGACCTGTTATGAAAGTGGAAGAATAGGGCAAGAGAGTATTTGTGTAAGCTGTAATGCAGTTAGAATGTCGCAGCAGCAGCCTCACGGCCTCCCCTGGTAGCTGGTTCAGCACGCCCAGCCCGCCCACCTTGACCTGATGGAGAGGCAAGAAGAAACAGACATAAACCAAGTGGAAGATCAAGGGAGTAATCATATGAGCTGCAGAGAAGTCAGAGTGCCACAGAAACAGAAGCACGGCCTTTCCCAGAGGAAGCTTCACCATGCTTTTCCCCCACTTTGACATGCTGCCGTGTGCGAGAGACACGAGAGAAGGGAAGTAGAAGGAGAGTCAAGGAGCACATAAACAGCTGCGTGGCCTTGAGGTGTATTTTGAGGCGCCTCAAAAGGATGTTAGGATAAGGAAGCAATGATCCAAATAACCCTATGTATGTAGTCAAAACAACGATTCGCACCGACAGTTGTGCACCAAATTATAGGAGATAACGAATCAGCTCATAACGAGGCCCGAGTGCACCTTGAAGTCGTTATCCAGCAGAATTGTCTCTGATTTGATGTCCCGGTGCAGCACAGGAGGCGTCAAGGCATGCAGGTACTTGATCGCCCGCGCCACCTCCGCTCCTATCGCCAGGCGCTGCCCGAACGATAATGGCGGCTTGGAGACTGGTTGGGCGAGGGCGGGAGGCGAGGAGCATGGGAACATGGGCGGATAGGGACATGGGATGGATCTGTATGCATGTACTCTCGCGCTGAGGGGGAATGAGCGATATATCGAGGCCTCACGAGCGCAGCTGGTTCACCATCGTAGCTGGTTCACCATCGTAGCTGGTTCACCATCGTAGCTGGTTCACCATCGTAGCTGGTTCACCATCGTAGCTGGTTCACCATCGTAGCTGGTTCACCATCGTAGCTGGTTCACCATCGAAGCTGGTTCACCATCGTAGCTGGTTCACCATCGTAGCTGGTTCACCATCGTAGCTGGTTCACCATCGTGCAGTCCCATCGCAGCCAATGGGCATGAAGCTGAACGAGCGATGTGCTGCGATGCGACCGCAGGATGGTGGGGCACGAACTTGAACGGGCACCCGTTGGCACGAACTTGAAGACGGGGATGTGCACGGATAGACATGCTGGTTGCATGGATAGACATGCAACATGCTGGTTGCATGGATAGATGTGCAACATGCTGGTTGCATGGATAGATATGCAACATGCTGGTTGCATGGATAGATATGCAACATGCTGGTTGCATGGATAGATATGCAACATGCTGGTTGCATGGATAGATATGCAACATGCTGGTTGCATGGATAGATATGCAACATGCTGGTTGCATGGATAGATGTGCAACATGCTGGTTGCATGGATAGATGTGCAACATGCTGGTTGCATGGATAGATGTGCAACATGCTGGAAAGTGAACGAGCTCTGCACAGGTGCACTACGGCTGTGGGTGGGGGACGCAACATGCTGCCTAGGAAGCTCAGCAAGAGCAGGTCGTTCACCGTCCACTGGTCGCGGCCAGTCAGCAAGGGAGCTAGCTGTTGCGACGCACATTGTCACATTGTGCACATGCATGCGGTGACGTGGCAGCACTCACCATCCAGCGGCCTGAGCCAGTCAGTGAGGGAGCCATTGGGCACGAACTCAAACACGAGGATCTGCTCGTTGCGATCCTCACTGAATGCCAGCAGCGCCACTATGTTGGGATGTCGCACTCCCTCCAGGAACTCGACCTGCGACCCAGGGAATGGAAAGGGGTGCAGAGCGGTCATGACGGCGTTATGGCAACGTTAATGGAAATGTCAGGCTGCTGAAGGCGAGAAGCGCCACTATGTTGGGATGCCGCACTCCCTCCAGGAACTCCACCTGCGACCCAGGGAATGGAAAGGGGTGCAGAGCGGTCATGACGGCGTTATGGCAACGTTAATGGAAATGTCAGGCTGCTGAAGGCGAGAAGCGCCACTATGTTGGGATGCCGCACTCCCTCCAGGAACTCCACCTGCGACCCAGGGAATGGAAAGGGGTGCAGAGCGGTCATGACGTTAATGGAAATGTCAGGCTGCTGAAGGCGAGAAGCGCCACTATGTTGGGATGCCGCACTCCCTCCAGGAACTCCACCTGCGGTGAGGGGGAGAGCAGCGAGCAATGTGAATGTGAATGTGAATGCGAGACTGATGCACGCACTGAGAGGCAGAGTCACGATGCTGGGATGACCTGGGCCTCTAGGAACTCCACCTGCCATGGGGAGGGAAAGCGGGCCGGCCATGACAACCGCATTTGACAGGCGAGAGGAGCAAATGAGCAAAGAAAGCGAAGAGCGGTGCGAAGGAGTGAAGAGCGGTGCGAAGGAGTGAAGAGCGGTGCCAAGGAGTGAAGAGCGGTGTGAAGGAGTGAAGAGCGGTGCCAAGGAGTGAAGAGAGGCGAATTGAGCCCACCTGGTTGCGGAAGAGGTGCTGCCCCTCCACTGACACCCGCTTGGCGCGCTTCACCGCCAGCTCCTCCCCACCGCGTCCCACTGCTCTGAACACCGCCGAGTGCCCCGCGTCCTCGATAGTGCGCTCCTCGCTAAAACCATCAGTTGCCGCCTCCACCTCCTCCCAGCTCCACTGCTCCACTGGCGCGCACCTCCCCTCCCCGTCCTCGCCCTCCTCGCTCTCCCCTTCCTCCCCGTTTCCCTTCTCGCTGTCACTGTCAACTATGCCGGATGCTTTGCCATCGAGAGGGGCCACTTGGGGGACTGGCAGGGATGTGGGGTGGAGGGGAGGGGCGGGGGAGAGGGGAAGGGAGAGGTGGGAGGGGCGGGGAGGAAGTGAAAGAAAGAGGAGGGGGATGTGAGTGGGGTGGTTGTGATGGCTCATGCAGGCTGCTTTGGAGGACTCGTGAAAATTATAGAAAGAATAAGAATCCTGATGTTGCGACCACTTCCCAGAACCACAAGATGTGGTTATGCTCTATCGAGACAGATAATACAGGGGATGCTGGTACATGAAAAAGCAGGAACGCTTGACAATGGCAGCAATGGAAAGGAGGGAAGGTGTGACTAGGAAACTCACAACGTCTCCTTGTCCTGCAGAAGACTATAACGAGGATGACTACCCCCACAAGGAGCACAGATGCTGTGACGATGAGCGCGAGGAGAGTGCTCGCTGGTGGGGATGCCGCAGGGGATGCAGGAGCGGGGGAGATGGGGGCGACAGAGGCTGGCGGTGTGAGGAGGCGTGGGGAAGAATGAGCGAGGAGGAAGGGGGAAAAGGAAGGGGAAAGTGCAGGGAGAAGGAAAAGGAAAAGACGGGAAGAATTCGATAGTACGAACAGAAGATAGAGGCAGAGCAGAGATGCGAAATATGGCAAACTCACAAACGTGCATCAATTGCTGGCGAGAGGTAAGGGGAGGAGGTCAGAGGTAAGAGGAGAGGAGCAAGAGGAGAGGAGCAAGAGGAGAGGGGTAAGAGGAGAGGGGTAAGAGGAGAGGGGTAAAAGGTGGGAGTAACAGGTAAGGGTCGGGTGGGGTGGAGCGGGCACGGTGCAAAAGGTGAGGTGAGAGAAGAGGAGGGAGTGAAGCATCGAGTGAGACAGGCAAGCGAGACAGGAAAGCGAGTGGGAAAGGAGACACGAGGAGGGGAGACGGAGAGGAGGAGGAGAGGGGGAGATGGGTGCTCACTAAGGGGCATGTCCGCCAGTAGTCGCCGCGGCGGTGTGCCCACGCCCAGCAGCAACCGACCTGCAGGGGGCCGGTACAAGAGGCATGGGATGAGGCATGGGATGAGGCATGTGACGCGCCATGGCATGAGAAGCTAACACGGACACACGAGCTCGCAAGACGCACGAGCTGGCAAGACGCACGAGCTGGCAAGACGCACGAGCTTGCAAGACGCAAGCAGCCATCCACCCTCTCCGTCCCTCCAACACCATGCGCCATGCACCATGCGCCATGCACCATGCCCCATGCACCATGCCCCATGCACCGTGCCCCATGCGCCGTGCCCCATGCGCCGTGCCCCATGCGCCGTGCCCCATGCACCATGCCATGCGCCGTGCCCCATGCGCCGTGCCCCATGCGCCGTGCCCCATGCGCCATGCGCCATGGCTTACCGGCGTGAGAGGCGAGGGCGTGGGGGCAGGCGGGCAGCAACAGGACGAGCCACACGCTCAGCGGCACCACGCCTGGGGGCTGCTGCCGCCCGCGCTGCTGCTGCCCCTGCCAGCTCCACATCGCCGCCATTCGCCCTCCGCGCACACGCTTGCTTCCGCGACCGCGCCTCTGTTCCCGCGCCCGCGCGCCTGCTTGAGCCTTTTGCGTGCGCTTGGTTGCGCCTTTTCCGCGCGCCTGCTCGCGCCTATTGCAAGCGGACACACGCCGCCAACCTGGTTTCCGACCACCCTGGGCTTCAATTTAACCAAGTGTCTGCGAATGCGGCGCCGCCAGTTATTTCAAGTTGGCGGATTACTAGGGCCTCTTTCGGCGGTGCGATCGATTCAACGGCGATACTCCGCACCTTCTCCGACCGGAATTTCTCTGAGTCGAAGCAGCTCTCTGCCGACCCTAACGCCAGCACAGTCTACACCTGAATCAGTCGGGTGTCCCTGAAACTGAATTGCTTCACCGCTTCGGATACCTCTCGTTCTCCTCCCTCGACCTCACGTCCTCTACCTTCACTGCTAGATGTTTACTCTTCGGCTTTCGCCGCTTCGGCCCTTCGCCTATTTGATGTCCGAAACACGCGGTGCTACGCCAGCTGCCGCGCTACAATCGATTCCCTAGATATCGCGGTGAATCGCCCGCGGTAGATGAAGAACGGCGGAGCTGATTGCGGTGCTGAGAGGTTCTACGGAAAGAAGAACGTCGACGGAGCCTAAAAGCCCTTCACGCGTCTCGTTCAGGCTCTTCCGAATCCATGATGCAAAACGGAAAAACTGGCATTTCCTAGTAGCCTTGTGACCTGCGTGTCTGGTACAATGGTTGAGTGAAAGTATTCCGAATACTGACGGCTACTGAGAGCTGCTATGGCAGTGCGAAGGATCGCTTACGGGCGATTTCAGTCGTCACTGGCTGCTCGAGAAACACGTTCCTGGGAAAGGAATTTTGGTGAGTCGACTCACGAGAGTCAAGCAGAAGATGAAACTGCGCGGAGATGGCTCAGGAGTCAAGCAGAAGAGATGCCTCGAGTTCGTTTGAAGCTATTCGCTCTTCCGCGCTTGCTACCTTCACTTCTGCGGTTTGTAAGTGTTTGCCACTCATCGCTACGATTCCTTGTGCGAATGCGCACTGATGGCGCGCGCATGCGCACTGATGGCGCGCGCATGCGCACTGATGGTGCGCGAACGCGCACTGTTGGTGTGCGCCAACCCGCCCAGCTTGCGCCGGACGCGATCCATGAAGCTGGCATGCGGGCAAAAGGCGCTACCTCAGCGAGGGGATTCAAAAATCGCTGGACTACTATAATGCGGAATGAGGATAATCTAGCGGCTTTTGCTAGCAGGGGACGTGTGACGCGTCACGACTCACAACACAAGAGAATGCGCGGCTAACAGGGATGGACGACCTGAAACGAGGAGAAAGGAGAGAGGAAGGGAATGCTGGCGTTCAATCGTGGCCGTCGATATATTTATGTGTCAGGGGCAGGGAGATTTCTATGCAGCGTACTTTGCGGCAGGGTCACCCCAAATGGAACGCGGTGGCTTTCGGGCAGGCTCTCCGGTATTTCTGGTTATAAACGTCCGATGTTGAAGTGAGAAGAATCCGACGGTAAATGATGGTCTCAAAAAGATGCTGAGCTGACCCGTGAACGGGGTGCTGTGTAGATTGGTGCTGATGGCAGCGACGCCAATTATTGCCAGTGACGCCAACACAGCGACACAGATGTCAACATAACAAACGAACCGATAAAATTGGCATTTGTGAATAGAAGTGAGAATGAGATGAATCATCTAAGGGAAATGGTTAAGAGTTTCATTACTAATGGTCTAGGCCCAGCTTCATCAAAATTCAGGCAGAGACACTCTGCAGGACAAGGCATGGGTACCAGAGGCACAAGCATAGAGGCAAGTAGCAAACCATATCGGCCCAAAAGCAGGCACAGAAGGAAAGCGCGATTGGCCCTCGAGAAAGCCCAGAGACAAGGCCTTGTGAAAGCCAAAGTGGCTTTTCAAGGCTCATCCCTAAGCCTACGTCTAGAAAGAAACGGCATTGCCTGTGCCCTAGTATCCCTCAGCCCAAGCGTCCCCTTGACAGGGATAAGGGCCTGACAGACCTGCCTACCCCAATTCATGCTGCCCTTGGTTTTTGGTCTGAAAAGACATGGCTAAAAGGTCTAGGGAAGGGAAAGAGTAAGAGGAAGGGATCAAGGGAAGATGAGAGAAGCATAAGAAGGGGGTGGGAAGAGGTAGGTAGACAACAAAAAAGTTTCAAAAAGACCTCAAGCCTCGCAGCTTAAGCCCCTGGCTGCTGCCAAAGGCTGCTGGCGACTCATGCACAAACGCAGAGCACAAGGCACCTTGAGTGGCTGCGGCAGTGCCAGCTGCAGCTGCAAAGAGCCCAGAGCAGAACTGGGACGCCCCAGAACCTGTTGGTTCCAAGGCCGCCACAGCGGTACATTCACTTCAACTGCAGAAACGTCGGCAAATGGGAGAAGACGTGCAGTCAAGATAGGGGACTCTCCCCTGTTGAAGCTCCCACACCGGCTGGTGAAAGCACCTTCCCATGGTTCCCATTGCTGCCACACAAAGTCAACTCACAAAGGCTGTGGGAGCGGCAGCCTCAGCAGCAGCAGCAGCAGCGGCAGCAGCAGGGTCGGCCTTAGCCGCAGCAGTGCCAGCAGCAGGCTCCGCAGCAGCGGCAGCAGCAGAAGCCTCAGCAGCAGCAGCGGCAGCAGTAGCAGGCCAAAGCACAGACTCCAGTACCTAAAATGTTCACTATCAAAAGACCTCGCCAAGTGTAGCAACAACTCAACTCCTCTGTCAGCTCACCACAGTTGAACAGCTCCAAACTTCACCCCACCCTCCCTCCTCCCCCCCCAAACCCCCTCATTCGGTCGAAAGGGTAGAAGGCAGAAGCCAGACGGCAGGCAGGCCTAATCCCAGGCGCTTGGAGGAGCGTTGCTGTACCCGCCACCACCGCCGCCATAACCACCACCACCGTACCCCCCTCCTCCCCCATACCCGCCCCCATACCCTCCCCCGCCGCCATACCCCCCACCGCCATACCCACCCCCGCCATACCCCCCTCCCCCTCCCCCGCGCTCCTTCCTGAAATCCCTCCCTCCGAACCGGTTTCCACCGCCGCCTCGTCTGCCCTTCCCACCACCACCATACCCCGACCGCGACGCGAAGTTCTGCAACCACCCGGGCACCTCCTGATTTGCCTCACTCATCAACTCTATCAGCGACCGCGCCAGGTTCGTATCCTTGTCACAGAAAAACGCCGTGGCTAAACCAGTCTTCCCCGCGCGCCCGGTACGCCCGATGCGATGCACGTAGTCATCGATGTCGGAGGGCAGGTCGTAGTTGATGACGTGGCTCACGTGCGGGATGTCGAGGCCGCGCGCCGCCACGTCGGTGGCGACGAGGATGGGCGTGCGGCCGGAGCGGAAGGAGCGCAGAGCCGACTCGCGCTCCTGCTGCGAGCGGTCGCCGTGGATGGACGTGGCGGGGAAGCCGTTGCGGCACAGCCAGTCCTCCAGCGAGTCCGCTCCCTTCTTGGTCTCCACAAACACCAGTGTGAGCCCGCCCTGTGGTGGGAGGGGAGTGTGTGGGGGGGGGGGAAGGGGGGGAAAGGTGGTGGTTGGTCGCCGTGGATGGAGGTGGCGGGGAAGCCGTTGCAGCACGGCACAGCACAGCCAGTCCTTGAGACAGTCGGCCCCCTTCTTGGTCTCCACCAACACCAGTTTGAGCCTGCCTTGTGGTGCAGGTGGTTGGGGTGGGGGGAGAAGGAGAAAAGGTGGTGGGGAGGAGGGGGATGGTGAGACGAGTGGGGACTAGGTGGGCATATACGCATAGAGGGTAATGCAGCATGTGACACATACGCATAGAGGGTAATGCAGCATGTGAAACAACGCCTCACAGCACTCGCCACGTGGGCAGCAGCTGTGCCATTGGAAATGTGGTGCGCGTGAATCAAGTCCATGAGCACATACTCATGCGATAGGAGGTATGCAGCAAGTGAAACAGCAGAGCCACACATGTAAAATCCATGAGCACCGATCGCTTGTCATGCTCCACACCAGTTGACGAACCCACTCGCCCCCTAACTGTGTACTCACCGCGTTGCCAGTAGCAAAATTTGAGGTGTGGTGCGCGTGGATCAAATCCATGAGCACGGACCGTTTGTCATGCTCGGGTACATACTCCACGCGCTGCTGAATCAGATCAGCGGACGACTCCACGCAACCCCTGACTGTGTACTCACCGCGTTGCCAGTAGCGCCATTCGAGGTGTGATGCGCGTGAATGAGGTCCATCAACACCGATCGCTTGTCATGCTCGGGCACATACTCATAGAAGGATCGAGAGTTCGAGGCAACTGAAGCACATTCTCAGAGCACTCACCGCGTTGCCAGTAGCGCCGTTGGAGGTGTGGTGCGCGTGGATTAGATCCATGAGCACCGACCGCTTGTCATGCTCGGGCACATACTCCACGCGCTGCTGAATGAGATCCGTGGACGACCCCACGCGCCCCACCGTGAGGAACACGTAGTTGGCCAGGAAGTCGGCGGCCAGGCGCTGGATCTCCTTGGGGAACGTGGCCGAGAACATGAGCGTCTGGCGCTCGCCCGCGCGCGGCATGCCTTCCTGCTCCACGATGCGCCGGATCTGCGGCTCGAAGCCCATGTCCAACATGCGATCGGCCTCGTCGAGAGCAAGGTAGCGCACCATGGTGAGGGATACCTTTCCTCGCTCCAGCATGTCGCACAGCCTGTAGACACATGGATGATGGGGAGTAGAGCAGGGTGCGTGTGGTCAAACGGATCTGCGACTAAAAGACCATGTCGAGCATGCGATCGGCCTCATCTAAGCCACGTAGCGCACCATTGTGATGGACACCTTGCCCCGCTCCAGCATGTCGCACAGCCTGTGACAGGGGTGACAGGGTGAGGGGGCAAGGGAAGTGGAGGGTGCGTGCTATCAGTCGGATCTGCGGCTCGGCTTCATCGAGGGCGAGACAGCGCACCAATGTGATGGACACCTTTCCACGCTCTAGTGTGTCGCACAGCCTGGGGGTTGGGGGGCCAAGGTTCAGAGTGCAAGCAGGTGTTTGGAGATTCACAAGAACCAGCTGGTCCCAGGGGTCTTACACAAACTCGGCATTCTTTGTCCTCGGTTTTCACAGCTTGCAGGATCCAGGGGTCAGGTCAGGGCGCAACGGAGCAGGGGAGTGACGGCAGGAAGAAGAGGTGAGGTTTGAGCCCCATGAGGTTTGAGCCCCATGAGGTTTGAGCCCCATGAGGTTTGAGCCCCATGAGGTTTGAGCCCCATGAGGTTTGAGCCCCATGAGGTTTGAGCCCCATGAGGTTTGAGCCCCATGAGGTTTGAGCCCCATGAGGTTTGAGCCCCATGAGGTTTGAGCCCCATGAGGTTTGAGCCCCATGAGGTTTGAGCCCCATGAGGTTTGAGCCCCATGAGGTTTGAGCCCCATGAGGTTTGAGCCTTGCACATGCCTGGGTACTGGACAGTGGCCCTGCTAACCGTTTTCACTTCACATGTCCCAGCTTGTCGCACATCACGTGACGAAAGAGTAGTGGGTGTTGGGCAGGAGGCGGATAACTGGTGCGTGGACGCATGCACTAGCACTAGTGCCTCACGCTTGTGTTCTACAAGACGCATCGGAGCATGAGAGCTTATGGAAAGCGAGAATTTTGAACTTGTGCATGTTGATGCGAGTGAGAGAAACGGCTAGAGGCCAGTGGGGATGAGGAGGAGAAGGAGGAGGAGAAGGAGGAGGAGGCTAGTACCTTCCAGGCGTGGCGACAAGGATCTCAACTCCCCTCTCCAGCTCCCGCATCTGCATGCATGCACACACGTGCATGCACACACGTGCAAGCACACACGTGCATGCACACACGTGCATGCACACACGTGCATGGATTCATGAATGAATGACCCCCCCCCCTCCTCCCCCCCCCCCACACACACACGTAGCAACACGGCGGGATAGCCACAGAAACAGCAGGCATACCAGCAGACATGCCATGCCCAAAGCAGATGCATGGGGAACGCACACAAAGGGAAACACACGTGTGTGATGAGAAAGAGGCGAATATAGCCCGCAGAGACAGTCTGCACGTGGGAAAAGCAAGCCCAAGCAGCAAGTACCACTCTTCTCCTTCTATTGGCTTGAACTCTAAATTAATCCTTGCTACGCATCAACGTACAATCATTAAGTGTACATTGGGACCGATTGAATATCACAACGCCTGCTGCCGACACAAACGCCTAGGCAAAGCGTTACCTGCTAGCCGTCAGGCAGCGTATAATTACCTGCTGGCCGGCAGGGGCACCGCCATAAACAACGACTGCGCGCAGGCCAGTCTTGTAAGCAAACTTGCAGGCCTCCGCGTGGATCTGCGCGGAGGAAGAAGGGGCGAGGGGGCGAGGGGGCGAGGGGCGCGAGGGACGAGGGGGAGAAGTGTTTTAAGTCGACTCAACACACGACGACGGCTCGCAGGCCGGTCTTGTAGGCGAACTTGCAGGCCTCCGCGTGGATCTGCGCGGAGGGGCGCAGGGGGCGCAGGTGGAGGGGGGGAGGAAGCGGACGAGCGGATGAGGAACGGGAAACGAGGGGGGGAGGGGAGAGGGTTGAGGGGCGAGGGGGGTGGGGCGAGCGGGGAGGGGCGAGGGGAGCGGGAGCGAGGGGCGAGGGGCGAGGGGCGAGGAGGGGAGGGGGGGAGGGAGAGAAAGCACGAAGGAGGGAACGAGCCTAGAGCGCAGAGGAGTCGGGGAGGCGATAAGACAGGGAAACGGAACAAAGCATGGCGGATGGCGGATTCGCGGAGGGAGAGGCGGGAATCGTAGCGTGGATAGCGGAAGGGAAGGGCACCAAGAACAGGAGGAGGCGAGGAGTGCAGGTGATTCAGCCAAGGCTCGCACCCGGCCCGTGTGGGCTCTCCCAAGTGCAACCTATTAAGACTGTTTCTACCAGCACGACAGCTGCAACCAAGCTCCTCCACCACTGAGGTGGCATTTGAGTCGACTCAAAAGTCACCTATGAAACCAGGCTCCCAGTCCACTAAATCCCAGCCGCTCCGCAAAACAGGTTGGCAGTTGCTTCCAGTCCAGTAGAACATGTAAACAGAACGTATATCAGAGCGTGGGGCTCGTGGGGTTGCATCTCAGAGCAGAAACTGTGAAACTGACGCAACTGGCGCAATGGCCGCAGCCGTGACGGCAGCTCGTCATTTCGTCGAATCCCTCGATCCCTCACCTGGCTCGTGAGCTCGCGCGTGGGCGACAGAATCAGCGCGAGCGGGAACGCTTTGCGGCCGAAGCGGGGGCGGTCGGGCGGCGGCCCGGCGGCGAGGATGCCGGAGATGATGGGCAGGCAGAACGCGGCCGTCTTGCCGGACCCCGTCTGCGCGCACGCCATCAGGTCGCGCCCCGCGAGCGAGATGGGGATGGCGTGCCGCTGCACTGGCGTGGGGTTGGAGTAGTTGCAGCGCTTCACATTCTCCATCACCGCGGGCTGCGTGCGGGGGGTTTAGGGCGGTCAGGAAGAGACGGAGAGAAGAGGCGAGCAAAACAGAAAAGTTGAATTCGCCGCCCACGTTCTCCATCACCGCCAGTTGCGCAGCCGGGGGGGGAGGGGGGATTAGGACGAAAGGTAAAACAGAGAAGAGGGAAAGAGGAAATGAGATGAGGAGTTTGCACCCAGAAGCGAAGGAAAGGGTCTGCATAGGCGATTCAACGCCGCTGGTTCTTCCAAACCGCTGCATGCGGGCCGGGCCCGAGGTGGAGAATGACTGGGGAGCGGAAAATGGATGGCGAGAGATTCGACGAACTGACGAGCTTCAGTCACGGCTGCGGCAATTAAGTTGTTTCAGCGCCGAGTCGACAGAAACAAGGTGAGAAAAGGATCAATTCAATAGCCATACATAACCGCGTGTTTACACGACGCTTCAACATCCAAGACGAGCACACGCGTCAAGCACGTGTCCGCCACGCACCTGGAGCCCCGATCCGTCGAAAGCAGTGATGGCGGGGGGGACATTGTCGCCGCTGGTTTCGACGGGGATATCCTCGTACGCGTCGAAGTTAATGCCCGTGTTCTGGTGGTTCTCAAACACCGCCTCTGAGTCCTTCTTCGTCTGCGTCGAAAACGGATCCTCCTCCCGCCCGCCGCCTGACCCGCTAAACCCTCCCAGCGGCCCTCCGCCGCCGCCACCGCCGCCGCCCCGTCTCCCGCCGCCGTATCCCCCTCGGCCGCCGCCGTACCCGCCTCCGGCACCCCCCCCTTGCCAGGCGCCTCCGCCCCCTCCGCCGTATCCTCCGCCACCCCAGCCGCCTCCGCCTGAAGCTCCGCCGTTCCATGCGCCGCCTGGCGGAGGTCCCCCGTATGCTGGACCCGTCGCGCCTGCCTGATCCGCCCACGATCCGCCAGCTCCCCCCGCCGGCGCATTCCAGGAAACTACCGGCGCAGGGCCGGGAGCTCCCGGTGGGCCCATCCCCGGCATACCCGGAGGCTGCGCAAAATCTCCCCCGCCGACTGGCCCGCGGCCGCGCAAGTGGGGGGGGACGTACGACGTGATCGGCTGCCGTAGAATTGGTCCCTGTCCGCGGGGTCCCCCCGGAGCGGAAGGCCCGCCAGCGGGGTGCATGTATGGCGCGGGGGGGCCTGGCGCGGGCGGATGGGCTTGATGGGCTTCTTCCACCACATCGCCCCAACCTTGACCAGCCATACTGGCTACAGTAAGAGAATTTATGCTCGGATCCGCTGAAGGAGGCCTGATTATAGTGGGTTGTCGACCTTACCGAATTGAAGTTCTATACCAGATTGTGAATGAAACCTGAATCTCGATGCGATGAAACGACTGATTCGACACCGTTAAATTGTCTACAAATCCGCACCAGGTACAGCTACACGATCTAGCGATTCGGAAAAACAACTGATTCAAACAGACCTAAAGAGAGATGTAATAAGACCTTGTTGCGATAACCTAGCTTGGACTAAAAATTGACTTAGGACGAATCTAGGAGGGCCGAGAGGGGAAAAGGACGAGCCATGGAAGCCTGTGTTTTCATAACCTCGTAATTGCCAGAACAGTAACTTCACGAAAAGACTGGTAATCAAGGTTCGTTAGAGATCGCATGTGGTAATTCGTGCGGCGACCACATCGTGGTTCCCAAAATGTTTCGCCCGCACAAGTGGAACAGCAAGCCTTGAAAATGTCCGAGAGAAGCGGCGAAAAGGATAGCAGACGAACCGTGCAGGATGGGTCTGAAAGGTTACAGCACCGCGCAAGCCAATCACACAGCTCCGTCAGTTTCTGACGTGTCAGCCAGATGGATAGCGAATCCAAGCAATCCGAAGCCCCCAAATCCGTGGGTGTTTTCAAGGATTTGCAGGTGTATCTGAAGCACCAGAAACATGACATAAGCTCAGGCTTACACTATAGATGAAAAAAAAATTGCTTTAAGAATGGCCCATGCCTGAAGACACAAACGCCCAGCTGAGCTTTACACAGCAATATTTGTCAGGTCAGAGCAAACCAGGTTACAAAATCACCTTCTATTCGACATCGGCAGCGGGGGAGCCTTGCTGGCACCATCATTACCCCAACCACCCAAGCCCCGTTTGTCCAGGTCAGCAAAGGACGTCGGTGGGGGACGTCCTCTAGGAGTCATCCCAAACGGAAGGCCAGCAGCACTGAAGTCATCAGCTCCATTGAAAATCCCATTGTCATTGTTAGAGCGGTTTTCCGAGCCATTCGCTGTAACCGCGTGTTGTGAACCATTCAATAACGAGATGTCAGGGGTGGTTGTCGAGCAGTCCTCTCTAGCGCTGGATTCTTGTACCGAAGAAAGTGTACTCCTGTTGTTAGGAACAGCTGCTGTACTTGCGGCTTTAACCGGCACTTTAGGCAACCTTGCACTGCTGCTGCTGCTGCCGGAGCTAGCTCCCGGACCTCCACCCGAGCCTGCACCGGCAAATCTATCCGCGCCTACCTCCCAGGGCGGTTTGACGGAAGACCTGGCGCCACGAGGGGTAGTAAGCAGCTCTCCCTGAGAGGAGAACCCTCCATAGCGACCCGCCCCCCTGGGGGTGAACCCCACTCCCCCACTCTCCACGCTCCCACGCCCTCCTGACCCCACCCCCTGTGCTGCTGAGGGAAGAGCGGCCGCTGCACTTGCACCTGCACCTGACCCTGTCCCGCCGTTCTCCTTCCCCTGTTCTTGATTCTGTCCCACTCCCTGCCCCCCTCCCTGCCCTCCTCCCTCCTGCTGTGCTTTGGGCACAGACCGCATCAGCTCCTGCCCATATATGCCCATGCCGCCAGGAGGGAAGAATGCGAGCGAACGAGGGGAGAATGACGACGGAGACGGCAGCCCCGGACCTCCTGCCAAGCCTAGCGCACCGAACCTGTTCTTCGGAATCCAGCTTGGCCATTCCTTGGAACCAAACGCGTTCCCCCCTACCGAGCCTATGCCCGAACCAGCTGCTGAACCTGGTGGGTTGTCATTCCAGGCAGGTTCGTTAGAGAGCCACCCGCGGCCCTTGTGAGGCAGCACGTTCGGCCTGGCCGAGGGGGACACGAAGCCCGCTACAGGACGGGGCGTGCCGCCCGTGAGAGCCTTTTCAAAGTAATCAAAATCAGTGTCGTATTGAGAGCAGGGGAGAGCAGTAAAGCAGGAGGAGGAGGATGCAGTGGGGGCAGGGGCGGGTGAGTTAAGCACAAGGTTTCGGTTTGGAATTTGGATTGGAACAGGTGCGGCTGCAGGTGCACTGGGTGCTGGCCCAGATACAGCTTCAGGTGCTTTATCAGGTGATGTGGGTGCTGCGGCAGGTGGCTCAGCTGTTGCATCTGTTGCAGCGGCAGCAGCAGCATCGATGACCGCAGCAGCATCACCACTGGAACCTTCCAGAGCATCAATTGGAGGCACAGTGGCTCCACCCGCCCTGCCAGGCACTACTGGCGACGACACAGCAGTCAGGCGTAGACACGTCACTGCCGCGCTGCTTGCACTGCTGCTTGCATTGCCACTGGAATTCGCGTTCCCTCCGCCCTCTCCCGCCCCCTTCTGCTCCTTCTCCCCCCCTGCAGCACCTGACAGCTTCGCCAGCAGGCGCATGGGAGACAGCCCACGCATGCCCCTCCCCTCGCCCCTCTTCCTCCGCTCCCGCCCCCTCCCCCTCTCCGCCCGCCCCTCCTCTCCCCCACCAGCCTCCTCCCCTACCACCCTCCCCTCCTCTCTCTCCCTCTCCTCCTCCACACTTCCTTCCTCCCCCTCCCCTCCCACCCTCCCTTCTCCCTCCTCCACCGCCTCACCCGCCCCACACCCATCCTCCTCCTCCCTCCCCGCCTCTTCCTGAGCCAGTTTCCGCCTGCCCCAGTCCGCGCCTCCCCCAGTGCGCCCCAGCCCGCGCAGGAAGGGGCGGCGCAGGCGGATATCAGAGGGATCTAGCAGACCCCCGCACCGCAGCTGCCCTGCTAGCGCCTCTAGCTGCTCCTCTGAGAGGCTCTCGCTCCTCCTCGCCCGCCCCTCACTGTTCCTGCTCGTGCCCGTTCCTCCTCCTGATCCCTCTGCTTCTCCTGCTGCTGCTTCTTTTCCTTCTGATGGGCTGTCACTCTTGCGTCCCTTCCCCTCCTTCCCCTTCTCTTTCTTTCCCGATACTTCTTTTTCCGCCGCTGCAGCCATCTTCCTAAGCTGCTCTGCCTCCTTGCGGTCCCAGCTTCGGCGCCGAAGCTTCTGCGCAAACCTGTCCACCGCACCAAAGAGCGAGGTCGAGCCCAAGAGCGAGGACGAGGTTCGGTAGGCAGAGAATCCCGGAGATGTGGACTTCTGGCTAGGCCCGGCAGATGTGGAGGCCTGGTTGGGGGGCGTGAGCTGAGAAGAGAGGTTGGGAGGTTCGGGAGAGGTGGGGGTGTGAGGGGCGTTTGGGGCAGAGGCAGCGTGAGGCAGCGAGGGAAGAAGAGGGCTCGCAGGTGTGGGTGATGTGCTTGGTTTGGGTGGGGAAGGGGTTGGCGTTTTGGGTTTACACGGGGTTGTTGGCTTGGGCTGAGATGGGGTTGTAGACTGGGAGGTGGAGGAGAGTGCGGAGGGTGAGAGCGGAGAATCAGATAAAATTGTTGCTAATGGAGATGACTGAGCTGCTGAGGACGCTGCTGTTGGCACTGCTGCTGCTGCTGCTGGTGTTGCTGATGCTGGTGCTGCTGCTGCTGATGCTGGTGTTGCTGCTGCCGGTGCTATTTCATGTGCTGCTACTGCTGCGTCTGGCGCACTAGATGAACTGCCACTCGTTGCTGATTCAGGCGCAGCAGCTGCTACAACCCCTTCAGACACCTCACATCCACAACTCTGCTGGGCACCATCTAAAAGTTTTGCGTCCTGCCCGAGGTACGTCAACCCCTGCCGAGCCACCACTTTCATCAACTCAGCATCAGCCCCTGCCCCACTCCCCCCACCCACCCTCCCCTCCCGTCCTCCACCCCCATCCCCAAGGGCAGCCAAAAAACTTTCCAGCTCCTGCCCGTCCGTCACCATAACCGGCTCCCCGCCCAGACTCTCATACTTGATAATCTGCCTGGCGGTAGCCAACCCCTGTTGGGCCATGAGGGAGTGGCACTGCTTGCCTTCCCAGCAGAACACAGCAGATCCCACCTGCACCAGAAAGCACCCGCGCGGGTCCAGTGAGTTGCGCGAGAAAGGGACGGTTTTTGGGACCAGATGGAGCGCGTCGTAGGGGGAGTGCGGCGCCATGCGATACATGTGCTGCCGAACCACGCCGCCCGCCGCTTCAGACGCTGCCGGCGCTGCTGCTGCGGATACTGTTGGCGGATCAACTGGTGCTGGGGGGGCTGCTGCTGCTGCTGCTGCTGCTGTTGCTGCTGCCGCGGGGGCTGCTGATTTGGGTGGCAGAATTCGTTTCTGCCACTGCAGCAGCTGACATGCGAAGCCCATGTTGGGACTCGCCACGCCCCTCACCGCCTTCACCCGCCTGAACGCCTCCTCAAACTCCAGGCGCTGGAGAATTGTGGTGTGCGCAGGGGGCGAGCGGCACAGGGGAGGGGGAGGGGGCGAGGAACACGGGGACACAGGGACAGGGGGAAGGGGAAGAGGGGTGGGGGGGGGGGGGGAGGATGGTAAGGGCGCAGGATGGTTGCGAGTGCACTGGCATGCCGCATGCGAAACCATCTTGCTGTTACCATCCTGCTGGTGAAGGGTTGGATCTTTTTCATCCTGTTGGCATCCCAGGCAAGCACCAGGCGACAGCAGGCTTATTCTAGCATCTTGGGCAAGCATCAAGCGAATGACTCAAGTGATCCTCCCACCACACCGGCTGAACGACTCGCGTGCGCACACAATCACTTGAGTAACACGACTACAATCACCATTAATGGAGGAGTGGACAATCACGCCATACACGCTAACAGACAACTCGTTACAAGACTCCTGCACTGCTCTGCCCACCTGTGTCCACATGAGGTAGGCGATAACAAGCGACGTGGAGCGCGAGACGCCCTGGCAGCAGTGCACGAACACGCGCCCTCCGCCTTCTCTCACACCCTCCATGTAATCAAACACGTCATACAGCACACATGTGATGTCCTCTGCTGTGTTGTCCTGTGGGGGAGGAAGGGAGGGAGGGAAGGGGAGCGAGTGAGAGAGGTGCGAGGATGAAGAGGCTTGGCCCCCACCTCCCCGCTCTCCCGCACGCCTTCCATGTAGTCAAACACGT